TCCTTAAACTAAGCCAAGGTGGCTGCTTGCATGGGGGATTTCTAGATGTTCTTGGATGCAGGACTTCCAGCTCAGCCTAAGTGAAGCCTGCCAGCCTCCTGGTTATAGTTTCGTATATCCACCAAATAGATTTTCCTTCCAGACCAGTGTTACCGCTTGGTAGTGGATCAATGTTCCGATAGGGTCTCTGTGGGTCGGTACTGACTGCACAGCAGTGAGTGGTATTCGCTTCCCGGTAGCATTGGCAGAGCAGACATTCCCGTTTCGGCCACTAGAGGGCTGCGTGCCCCCAGAAAGTGAGGCCGGGCTGCTTTGAACGGAAACCAGCTTGGAGCGCTGTTGGATTGACTCAGCTGGGCTAGGGATGCCAGGCGGGAAGCTGGAAGACTATGGCACTGGCGGGGCTGCGGGAGGTTACCACACCCTAGGGTGCTGCAAGGCCGGTGACTCTGGGGATGGAGAGGGAGGGGGGCAAGAGTGGTGTGTGCCCAGCACCATCTGCTGTTCTAGGGTCCTGTTGGAGCTTTGCGGCTCTCCCTGCTGCCACCTGCATCCCCACCCCTGGCCCGCCCCCTGGACACAGCCGGAGCCTTGTTATATGCCTCGCCTGCCCAGGCCCCACCCAAGAGTTTGGGTTGGAGGCCTTTAAAACGAACTATGGGCACAAAGCTGTCTGTCTGTGTGGTCAGAGGTAGATGTGGTTGGGGTGTTGAGCAGTGTACACGAGTCTCCCACAGCCATTATTTGATGTGCCGGTGGTGGTGGTCTGTGGTGGTGGTCTGCGGGGAAGTAGGGCTGACGGTCCTGAGGAGTGAGTGCGATGATAAATATGCTAGGGGACTGGCAAGGCCAGCCAAGGAGCTTCCAAGAAAAGAGTCTCCTCCAAATGGTAGAACTCAAGTCTAACCTTTCTCTTTTTTCGCTAGTTACCACGCCTCTTAGAACAGACCTTTTCTCTGTCCTGTCAAGCAGTTTCACCCGAGCGAGCGGCACTTTGAACGACTTAGCAGAGAGGGCAGGTATCAGACATGGTCTTGATTGATGGAGGGGTCAGGCTTTTGAGCCATGCAGTGCTAATGGGACACTGGGTCCAAGCAGGCCACGTATTTTGTTTGTGTCTGTCGGGGCAGCCGAGGGACTGTACCATCAACACACCTTGCAGGTCAAAGGAAGGGGCTGTTCCCGTACACTGAGAATGTGGCCGCCGCCCCTCCCCCCCCAGGTAACCTGGCCCCCGGTGAGCAGAGGGTCCCCAGGACCCAGGAACCTCTGCTGAAGCAATCAAGATACCGTTCACAGGCTGGACACAGGCCGGTGGTCTAGGTGGGGGGCAAAGGGGTGGTGAGCCCACCCAGGTGGATAGGGTCTGCCAGGGTGGTCTCCACCTGGTCAGCTGGCCTTTGCAGAGGACTTCCCCAGCAGGGGCCAGAGCCTCGCTGCGTGAGCATCCTTCTTTTTCTGAATGGAAAGTGAAGGACCGTTGGGTAAGGATGGTTCCCTACTGAGAGGCACACAGCCACTGCTTCCAGCCCACCCCATGCTCAGGCTGCCTGTGTTTAACTGCCTGCCTGAGGACATGCCTGTTTGGGGCATCACAGCTAGATAGCAAGTACAGTGAACCCTCGCCACGTCGCGCTTCGACTTCCGCGGCTTCACTCTAGCGCGGTTTTGGCGTAACAGCGCATGCTCTGTCATTACTGCCACTGATTGGCTCAGACTGTACACGCTTGATGCCATAAATAATATAATAAATAATAAATGATCATTGTAACGTCCAAAATGTTTGACTGTATTTTCCCTTTTTCGTTTAATAACTTGGGTAATAAGAGTGTCATGGGTGTTTTTTCATGTCCTCTATGCTCTAAAAAAAAAAACTACGAAAATATTTGATTTACAAATAAGGAATCCTACTTCGCGGAATTTCATTTATCACGGGAAGGTCTAGAACCGATTAACCGCGATAAACGAGGGGTCACTGTATCCCATTTTTAATGGAGAGAGATCCAATCTGACTCACATAGGTTTGCTGCTGGCTCCTCCCAGGGCAGAATCCACCCTAGAAGGTGCTGTGACCACAGGGACACGGGGTTCTCTCCAGAGACTAAAAGTCCACGCGCAGGGTCTCTGCTGTGTTGACTCCTCCTGGGGGCCCCTCCCAGTTCCTGCACGCTGTCTACAGATACCTCTGCCTCTCCCCTTACCACCACTCAGAAAGGTATGAGGTTAGGGACCCAGCCTGCTTCAGTCTGACCGCCTTTGACTGAACTACCAAGATAGAAGCCCTATTTCTCCAAACAGGGTGATAGCCGCAGGTGCCAGGATCCAGACCGCAACATGTCTTTTGGATTTGGGTAAGGTGACCAGATTTAAAGTGGGGCGCCATTGACCGGGTGGGTGGGGAGGGGTTCTTGATTAAAAAGTTGGTCTATATGGACCAAATAGACCGTTCCCTAGCTTGTCGTGCATTCTTTCCAAAAATCGGGGCTTTTTTAAAACGCCAAAAATCGGGACGTCTGGTTGGGGACACAGTTTAATCCATAACAGGGCTTATCAACACCTTTTCATAGGCAGCTCTGACCAGACTCTGGCTCTATTGCCTACGCAGGGGTCCTCAAACTTGTAAAACAGGGGGCCAGTTCACTGTCCCTCAGATCCGTCGGAAGGCCGGACTATAGTTTAAAAAAAAAACTATGAACAAATTCCTACGCACACTACACATACCTAATTTTGAAGTAAAAAACAAATGGGGCAAAAACACCCGGCGGGCCGGATACATGCCCTCGGCAGGCCGCATGTGGGCCGCAGTTTGAGGACCCCTGGTTAAGGCCAAAGCCAAACAGCCTGCCCCAACAGAAGGAGGCAACCTGGCTGCTCGGGTCACGGACAAGCCTGGTTTCACACAGGAACTACCAACTGATGACGGAATAGGCCAGTGGGGCCGGAAGTGGTCCCGGTGAAGGCAAGGAGCGGGCCTTGCACTGCCAACCCCCAGAGGCAGCACTCCCTCCCCCGCCTCCCAGGGCCTCTGCAGCCCCGAGGCTAATTCATAGAGCCAGGCAGGCCATCTCCATGTGAATGTCACACTAATTCCCGATAAGGGTGAGGGCTTTGTCCCCACATAAGGAACCACACGGCAGTCAGGGGTGCCCCTCTGCCCCGAGCCTTCTGATCACAAACAGAACCCTCTGTTCCCGATGCCAAGTCTTGGTCATCACCTCCCCAGGGAGAGGGCGGCGGCACAGCAAAGCTGGTGGCCCTTCTACAATATCCACCCCCCTGTCTCCCCGTGACTCTTTAAAACAACGTTGTGACACTCTGGCTCCACTGTGAGTGTTAGTACTTCGATGCGAGGGGCAGTAACGTCCAGGAGGGACTGGCCCTTAGACCACAGGGCCAGAGGCCACCAAGGCAGGTCAGGGAGAAGCTCCTGAGGAGGCACGGAAATGGTGACCGTGCAGCGAGCGGGAACGCAACAAAACGTGTATTGAATTGTCGGATGGAAAACCACTTTGTTGGACAAACTTGGGAGAAACGCACGCTTTCTCCCCGCCGTGAGTTCCAGTCTGGGCAACCCACAGGGGCAGCTCTGAGCCTGCACTACAGGCCCCTGCGAGTCGGCAGGGACGTGATGGCAGTGCATTTGGGTTTTGAGTTTTAGGTGATGGCTGGGGGGGTGGGGGGTGGGCTGGGAATGGGGAGCTAGTGAGCACAAGAAGAAAATGTTCTAAGATTGGCTGTAGTTCGTGATGATTGCATAACTTCTAAATAAGTTAAAACAATTCTATGATATGTGACTTATGTCAATAAAACTTAAAATTTTTTTAAGGCTTCTTTCATAGCTACCTTCAATCTTCTCAGTCTTCTTAGGAAGACCAAGCCCATCTTTCGAAGGTCTCTATGATTTGTGTGTCAGGCCTCTATCCAACTACGAGGTCCCTATGGGGCATAAATGGTTTGGGATCAAGTGCTACCCTAAACGGTGGTGGTTTGAGCCCCTCGTGCCCCCAGTGGCCGCACAGAAGACAGGCCTCGAGATAGGATTCTATCATGATTCCCACCAATAAAATGCTTTGAAGCAGTTCTCCTCTGTACAAGAGGGCCAACTGAGTTACAATCAACAACAACCACACAATCTACATGAGTACCCCAACCCCCACCTACAATACCCAACATCCTCCTGGAGAAACACGGGCAATTCTCCGTGCCAGGCACCCTGTTCTCCCGAAGACAAGACAAAAAGAAAGAAAGTTCCAACGTCCTCTAATCCCAACAGCCTCGCAAGACCTGTCGATCTATTTGGAAGCAACTCGCTTTTCCCATTGGTAAAAAATCTCTAAGTTTTCCCCCTCCACATGATCGCCTGCCGCTTTCGGGTCTTCTCTACATCCCGAGTGCACTGTGGCTCAGAGCAGCGGCGTCTCGTGGGAAATGCACAGACAAACAGCTGTGGCTGACAGAGGTTTGGACAAGTTCTCTCTCCTGCCCTGCCCACTACTCCGCACGGCCACAAGGAGTGACCGGGCGTGACAAGCATGCTCGGTTCGCTGCTATTTGCAAAGGGCAGTCCTAGTAACTGTGCAGGTGCCAAGGCCAGATGAGGAGCTGCCTCCAAGAACGTGCTGCTCTCAGTCCCTGCCTGCTCCCCTCTAGGACTTTCACCCCAAGGGGGCCTCCAGACAGCAGGGCCCCTGCCCCTGGGCCTCCCCTCATTCACCACAGGAGTTGTTTGGCCTCTGGTCACAACTGGCGTGTGTCCCAGACTGAGCCCTCCTTGGTTCTGGGAGCCTCAGTTTCCTCTGGACTGCGGTGATTCCGAAGATGGCGTTATCAGCACTGGATGACCAGCCACTGAGTGCCAGGCACTGAGAAGCTCGCGGAGGAGGTGCGAGGCTACTGGTGGCCTGGATGCTCGAACCTGGGCCTCCCTGTATGGAGGGGTCACAGGGGTATCGGCTCAGACACCACTGTCATTGTGGCGCAGGAATGAAGCAGACCCGGGACACGTGGCATCTTTTTTATTTTGTCAATCTTCATTTAAACAGGTGCTTTTGAAAACTTATTAAATAGGATCTTTTCAACATTGAAGTCGAACAATAGTTAGTGACCTTTGCGCAAACATCGCTTGAACTTCTGCTTGCCTTTCACATGAATACTTTTCAAACTTACATCACAAGACAATGCCAGCTACTTCTCCCGTTGCCTCTTAGACTCTAGTTTACAGTTTGGCAAGTATTCAGCTAGGATAAAAAGGAAAGAGCTAGTTCAAGCCCAGAGGAAATAACATATCTTCTTTATTAAGAAAAAATTATAAAAGTGCCTTGCTTTCAATACAACAAACTGTGCCCTATGAGGTGGTGGAGCAGTGTTAAGCAACCAAATCAATTTCTGACGGCTAGTTCCCCTTTAATTAAAACATCTACACGATCTCTATGGCTTAAATGAGCAAAACTGGCCAAGTCAAATTCTAAGGGCCTTTGGGCTGGCAGGATGTGCTACGGACATAATCTGGTTTTAATGGCTCAGGAATGGAAGCCATTAGGGCCTGCCACTGGAATATGCCACATGGCTATTGGTCAGAACTGTTACCCAAGGAGGTCCAGCAGGCCTGCCTACCTGCTCTACCTGCGCAAGAGTCTACGCTGCACACGGAGACAACCTGGGCCCTGGCCGAGCCCGGGGAACCCTGCCAGGTGATTCTTTAGATACAAAACTCGACAAAGGGTGCCGATGAGGAAGAACAGACTCCTCTTTCTCTCTCTCTGCGTGGTGAAATCATTGGTGGATTAAAAGTCAAGAACACAGCCCCCCAGTGTTAGAAAGCACATGGGTTTTTGAAAGCAACAACACATGATTTAGAAAGAGAATTACGAAAACAGACAAATTAGCAGTTACGCGTGTAGTGTTTTATAAACAGAGCATTAACATTCCATTGCATACACCTGATGGCTGAAAACGAGCCACGACCTTTTCTGTTCTTGTTTTCCGGCTGGTCTCAGGCTGTTTTGAAAGAAGACAACCGAACCCCTTCATCACTCGAGTGTGTAATAGGGAATTAAGAACCAAATATTTATGCTCTCTGCTTTTCACGGAAGACTTTGATGTGTGGTTCACACGGGCCAGCTTCCAGGAATAAAAACAACGGAGGGGGGAAAAAGAAGGGTTTAGGCATTTGAGAAGCTGTTCGTGCATTTAACTATTTCCCTTCCCTGGTTAGAAAAGCGGTCTTGGTCTGAAAACAAGGGCACGCGATGAAGTCTGGGGTGCACGGGTGCAGGAGCCCATGGACCTGGAAAGAGGGGTTACTCTAAGAGAACCAGCTCCTAGCAGAAGCCCCACCAGAAAGCCAGTCAACGGTGAGAGGTCTGTTACTAGCAGACTGAAGGCCTGGCTCTAAATTCTACCAAGCCTTTTAGACGAGTTCTTTTCCCCCTAAGTATTCCATTCAACAAACTCACTCTCTATTCAAAAGAAAGAAAGAAAGAATGAATGAAGGGAGGGAGGGAGGGAGGGAGGGAGGGAAAGAAAAGTAGTCTTCTCCCCCGGCCTGTGGCCAGTCATCCTGAAGAAATGCCTCCTTGTCTACAACAAGCTTTCCCCACAGCTGTCCTGACGGGGCTCAGAGAAGCGTCCTCAGAAGTCAGCGGACACAGCAGAAAATGAACTGGAGGAGGTGGCAGGTGCGGCAGCGAGGGACCATCTGCCCTGGAGGTGGCAGCGGGTCCTGTACAGTGGAAAGACAGTAGGCACACCACGACAGACGCATCCGCCCGCTTTCTTGGACCTTTCAGCGCCTTGCTGAAGAAAGGCGTTGAAGTGCCGAGAGGAAGGATGAATGTGTCCCCGTTCCTGCCCCAAGGACCCGGTGGCACCGCCACTGAGATCTGGCGTGGAGCCTTCAAGTGCCCGACCCTGCTGCTGTTTGTCAACAACAGAGTGGGGGGAGGGGGGGTGCTTTTAGCACGGCTAATCAAATGGCTCTGATTTCACTTAAATCATCACAGACTTGATGAACATATATTATTCTACTTTTTTTTTCTCTCTTTCATTCAAATGTTTATGCTTCATCTACCTGAACAATGACTCGAGGGGGAACAGGCGCCTTCAAAGCTACCCCAGGAATGAGGACTGGCTGGACTCACACTCATTGGACAAACAGCAGAGGGGGCCCAGGGCTGCACCGGATGGGGCGAGGAGGTCAAGGGGCAGTTTTCTTTAAGTCTCGAATCTGCTTAATCAAGTAGTTCTTCTCATCAGTGAACTGCTCGTCGTCCGTCCTCTCCTTCTGGAAGGTGCTAAGAAACTCAATGAGTTTGGGCTGATTTTTTAATAGGATCTCCACAATAGGCTGGGTTTTGTGAGGACTGGCCACAAACACCTGAAATACACAAAAAAACAGAAGCCCACTTATATGAAGTACCTAGAATACACGAATGGACAGAGACCCGCGTGTTAGCGGTTCCAAGCTGGGGGCTAGGGCTTGCTTAGTGGACGCTGAGGGTGATGGGAATATTTAGGAATGGGTAATGCTAATGGTTGGACAAGATGACTGTCATGTGACGGATGCCGAAATGACAAATGTTCTGTTATAAAAATATGTACACAATTCAAACCAAACCAAATGACCTGCCACAGGGTGTGACTGCTGGGGACCCCGCTAACCCAGCTCAGGTTGCTGCCAGGAAACGGGCCCGGTCAGATGTCTTAGCCAGGAAACGCAGTAATTCACCTTCAGATCCATCGAGCTAGCAGAGCTACCTGTACACAGTGTTCACCTTTATTTTTTTGTTTGTTTGTTTTTTTAACATTTTATTAGGGGCTCATACAACTGTTATCCCAATCCATACACACATCAATTGTGTAAAGCGCATTTGGACATCGTTTCTCAAAACATTTTCTCTCCATTGAAACCCCCGACATTAGGTCCTCATTTTCCCCCTCCCTCCCCGCTCCCCCCTCCCGCATGAGCCCTTGATAGTGTATAAATGGGTATTTTGTCATTTCTTGCCTGTCCGACGTCTCCCTTCATCCACTTTTCGGTTGTCTGTCCCCCAGGGAGGAGGTCACACACAGTTCCATGTAATCGGTTCCCTCTTCCCTACCCATTCTCCCTTTACCCTCCCTGTTTTGCCACTCACACCACTGGTCCTATAGGGCTCATCCGTCCTGGATTCCCTGTATTTTCAGTTCCCATCTGTACCAGTGTACCTCCTCTGGTCTAGCCAGACTTGCAAGATAGAATTCGAGTCATGGTAGTGGGAGCGGGGAGGAAACCTTTAGGAACTAGAGGAAGGTTGTATTTCTCATTGTTGTTACATCGCACCCTGACTGGCTCATCTCCTCCCCGAGACCCCTCTGCAAGGGGATCTCCACACCTTTATTTTTAAAACTTTTAAAGGGCTTGTTTTTCATGATTTCTAACCGTTCAAAGCAGACATCGTGTTTTTGTCATCGTTTCGCATCAGCGAGTCAGTCCTGACGTCGTGGCACCGTGCACACGAGACCACGGTGCTGCCCACCTTGCGGCACCCTCCCGAGCCGGCCCGCGTCTGAGCCGTCCTGGCAGCCACTGGTACATCCATCTCCTTGTTTCCGAGGCCTCTCTACGTGATCAGCATGATGTCCTTTTCCAGACTCGTCTCTTGATCGCATGTCCAAAGTTTCGCCCAGTCACTTCTAAGGCGCCTCCTAGCTGTCCTTCTTCGGAGACAGATTTGGTGCGTGTGTACCAGAAGCATCATGGATCAACACTGCCCTTCTTGGTCCATGGGAGCGTCCACGATCCACAGGGAAGGGCAGGGGCAGACTCTGGGGGTGGGGGATGCGGGGTGGAGGCAGGGGACACAGTGGGATTTTTTTTTTAAGTGAGGAAAAGAACAAGACAAAACCAGGGAGAGGGCCGGACGATGAAGACAGACACAGAACAGAGAAAGAAGCGAGGCGCGGCACTGCCCGGGAGGGGTGGGATTTGAACAGCCGCTGGGTGGAGCGGGGCTGTGCCTGCAGACGTGAGAGGTTGTGGCGAGTCAGGGGAGAGGTCACATCTCTCTGGTTGCCAGTCACTGACGTGGGTGCTGGTACAGTCCTGGGTGAGCCGAGCTGATTCCCGGTTTCTACTCTAATTGGAATGCCACTTGCACAAATTCTAAAGGGCTCCACGGTGCCCACTGGCAGTTCACTGCTTCTCATGCCTCTCTAGTCACTGTTTCATTCAGGCTCTTCCTCTCTTGCTATGTGATCTACCTCCTTCCCTCTTCCTTCGCACTTCTGCCCTGGAAGGTTGTCATCCATATCCACGGTGCTGGGTTCTCAAGTCTGTTGTGCGGGATCTGGATAGTATCTATTTAGATCACCCTCCCAAGTTGATGCATTTCTTGACGCTACCTCCATGGGTGCTGGTTGTGAATTCCAGGAAAATAAACCCTCGGCAATCTCTTATCTTCTCCTGGCTCATGCTATTTACTGGTCCAGTGGTAAGGATGGGTGTTCTCTTTGTGCTGAGGTGCAGTCTCCCACAGAGGCTGGGCATGAGTCGGTGCTTCGAGTCCTCTTTCCGCAAACAAGGCGGGGTCACTGCAGATGGCACATCGCAGATGCCACTGACGTTCGTGAGTCTTCCTCCCGTCTCAGGCTGCCTTCTTCATATAGTTCAGTTCCTTGGATCGTTTGCTCAGAATACAGGCTGAGTCAGGATGGGGAAATACTGGCATCAACACATGTGCCACACAAATTACAGAGACTTTGCCTCAATTCTCCCCTTTGAAAGAAGCAATACATTACAGAGAACCAGTTCCTCCCCCCGCCCCCCACCCCCTACCATCCCACGCACCTCTTTATTCTATTCAACAAGAGCATTCAACATAGAGCATTTGAATGTGTTTGTGTGTGCGATTTTAAACATACTTTAAAAGGGCACGGAGATAGTCCGTTATCTTGTAATTCCATTTTTCCATGAATTTTTTAAAGCCCTAGTGTATAGTTTATTTTTTAACACATATTATGCTCACTTGGCACAAAGTTTAAAGTGTACAAACATAAAAATCCATAATGTTACTTTCTCTCTCTGGGAGTCACCGATATTTCTGCTTTGATGTTTGTAGAGCTGAAAAGTACAATTGTCCAGGCCCCATCTCCCAGGGGCACCAACTTGGTAGAGCTGGACTGAGGTATAATATTCTGTATTTTTATAGAGTTCTACATGGACTCTGGGGTACACTCATGGTTGAAATCATTATTCTCGACTAAGAACAACCCAGGTATACTCTAAAAGATAAAAATAACTAAATAACTAAATAAAATAAATTCTATTAAGACACAGTGACTCAAAAATATAATACAGACTCACATATTATTTTGTAATAGACACAATTCCTAGTTACATGCTACATACACGAGCAGCATACAGATAAAAGCATATTCGACCCTTGCTTTAGTTATCTAGTACTGCTGTAACAGAATTACCACAAGTGGATAGCTTGAATAAACAGAAATGTATCCTCTCGCAGTTCAGAAGACTAGAAGTCTGAATTCAGGGTACCAGCTTGAGGGAAGACTTTCTGTGTTGGCTCTGCGGGAAGGTTTTGTTTTCTTTCAGCATCTGTAGGCTTAGCTTGGAAATCTCCACGCGTCTTTAATCAATTTCCTCCTGGGTCTAGGAGGTTCTCAATGCAGGAACCCTGGGTTTAAGTGACATGGTGTGCTCCAGGCCACCAGTAGGTTCTGGTTTTTCTGCTTGCTTCTCTTTTATAAGATAAAAAGTGATGACAGGCCTATCCCAGTTAGACACCCTCTGTGACCCGAGTAAGAATGTTGTATCTTACTTTAATTCTGGTTAATCAATAAAATACATATAATCTAATTATCATTAACATAACCCAATCCTACCTCATTAACACAGAGAGGTTAAAATACACAACACATCACAAATGGAAGATAATCACATCAGATCATATCACAAGGTTGAATATGCCATTACATAACTTCCAAACTACTGAGAATCGTGGCCTGCTGATGGTGGGAGCCAATAGTGGCCCGCTCTCTGATTTACCACCTGATCTGTAGACGCTGCAGTCACAAGCCTGACTTGCTGACATCCACACCTGTCCAAGCTGTATGCTGAGCAAATCATCAGAGAAGCTGGGTTTCTGAAAGAAGAATATGGCATCAGGATCGAAAGAAGGCTCATTAACATGCATGGTATGTAGATGATGCAACGATGTTTTCTGAAAGTGAGGAGGACTTGAGGCAGTTGCTGATGAAGATCAAGGATGGCTGCCTTCAGTGTGGATGACAACTCATTGTAAAGAAGGCCCAAATCCTCACAGCTGGACCAGCAGGTAACGTCGTGACAGATGGAGGAAAGCTTGACGTTGTCAAGGATCTTTGTGTGGCTTGGATCCATAACCAATGCTCCTGGAGGCAACAGTCAAGAGATCAAAGAATACGTTGCGTTGGGTAAATCTGCTGCACAAGACCTCTTTAGAGGATTGAAAAGCAAGGACGTTACTTTGAGGTCTAAGATGTGCCTGACCCAAGCCAAGATATTTTCTATGGCTTCATATGAAGTATGACAGTTGAACATTGAGTAAGAAAAATGAAAGACGAATGATGGTGCTGGAGAAGCATCTTAAAGGACGACGGACTGCCAAAAGGACAAACATATCTGTCTTGGAAGAAGGACAGGCAGAATGTCCCTCACAGGCAAGGATGGTGAGACTGTCTCCTGTCTGTTGGGCATGCTCTCAGGAAGACAAGTCCCTGGAAAAGAGTGTGACGCTTGGTACAGTGGAAGGGCATGCCTTCAAGGAGATGGATGGACACATGGACACGGCGGCTGCAACAATGGGCTCAAGCACGGGAATAATTGTGAGGCTGGCGCAGGACCGGGCGTGTTTTCTTGTGTTGTGCGTGGGGTCCCTGTGGGTGGGAACGGATTCGATGTCACCCCACAACAGCGGCAACAACATTGCTGATGGCAGCTGGATCTTGGCTGAACGCAGAGAATACGAGAAAGATGCTTTCCCGTGCTTTATTGACTAGGCACAGATATATACAGTCGATTAAACAGACAAAACGGAGCATAGTAAGATACAATGAGGGCACTCTTTAAAAGTAATTGACCAAAAAAAAAAAGTAATTGACCACACATTAAGCAAGTTAACAGTTGATTCAAACACCGAGGATCAAAAAGATACTCGATTGATGTATCTTTAAACTTTTGGATAAACTACTCAGGAGGCCAACAGGGAAAAGAAAGGGGTGGGTGGTGTGTGTGTGTGTGTGTGCGTGTGTGACACAGCTCCTTGATGCTTCCTAATTCATTTATTCTCAATCCCTTTCTGAAACAGTGTGTGTGTGTGTGTGTGTGTGTGTGTGTGT